TAATCCATATCCAATTCCATTTATTATTTTATTTTCTTTACAATTTTAAATTCACCCCGTTGCTCTTTTTACCTTGCTAATAATTAAGGTGATGCATACTGGCTTAAGGTTTGACTTCCACTGCAGGATTTTATTTATTTATTTTTCACCTGAATCTCCTATAGGCATATTCTTAGCTAACATCCCACTTGATAGCACAATCCCTAAGCTATAGCTTTGACAGGAAAATGGGTGTATTGGTCTCTTGAACAAAACCATTGACCCATTGTAAGGTTCAAGTAGTCACACAACTCAAGTCGAGGCTCAGTCCGCTATCACTTTTCTAACTTACATCAAATATTAATCAACTAGAAACATGAAGCTAGCAGTTGAATTAACTTGTATAGTTAACATGAATCACATGAGAAGAAATTGAACAAGCTGTACTTTATACAAAAGTCCATAATAATCCTATGTACAAAATATAGTTAATTACTTATTACACAATATACTCTTACCCATTGATTTAAACCTTCAAAGGAAAAAGCTTTTTCAATGTTGCTATTTCCAGCCTAAAAATTGGGATACTAACGTATGGAAGAACATCTAAGCTTAAGGTTACATTTTGAATGAGAGGAGAATGAAGACGGTAAAACTTGTGCTTTCAACATAAATTTAAAGCGAGAGATCATCCAAAGAAAACTAGCATGCTGGATAAGAGAGCTCATAGCACTTGTAAACCATACTTATGAGGCTTCCCATATATGACTCATAATAATGCCACCCCATTCAAGAGCGGCTCCACTTCACAACAATTTACATGGCCTTTTGCTAGTTCGAAGCCTTCATAAGTAGCCATTTACGTGACTTCAGTTTCCAAATGAAAAGCTGAATGGGACGAGCTCAAGTTTAAAGGGAGAGTATATCGCCAAATACTTGCCTATGGCGTATGAGAACTCCTCACTTATAAATCTCCTTCACTGGTGAGACTCCCCAACATGGGTCTCATAATAGTTTTCCCCTAAGTTTGAATCTAAAGTAAATTCTTTCCCTTCCCTTCTACATTCTCAGTCCAAGCATAACAAAGAGATGTTCTTGTGGAGGGATAATGGAGCGCAAAGGAGGAGAAAAGAGGGATATATTCATACATTTTATTTTGCTTGTGAAGAGTGAAGGATAATTGATAAAAGTTTTTAATTGACATAATTTCAAAATCATTCAAATCTCCATCCCTGTATTCTTAAGTTCATTTAATTTGGTGGAGTGAAACTATCATTTAATTACCCTTCTTGATTTTTCATAAAATCCCAATGCATGCAAGCAATGAAAAAAATAAGAGGGACATGTATTAATAAATTGAAGGAGCACTCCTTCTCGGTTAACCATTTATTGAAAGGGTTAAAATTAAAACAAACGAACAATAAATTCTCAATGCCCCCCCCCTCGAAAAACAAAACAAAAAGAAACACTATTGTTATGCTGGGGACCGTTCTCTTTGTGACCAATCAATCAAAACAAAATCAAATATTTGTTACAGTTTTAACAAGTCGCTTGATATTATTGCAGACATATAATTAAGATAATTTATTTTAATAAATTCAGGTTCGGTGAATCGTACCTTTTATTATTAATAATTTCCCTAACGTTAATAATTTGCCCAATTATTGAGTTCGTGGGGCCGTCTTGCGCATCTCTCCACTCTGTTTTTAACGTTAGGGAAATTATTGAGTTCGTGGGGCCGTCTTGCAAAACTAAATTATAATATAATATTATAATATTTATTTTAATAAAAATAAATTTGAATATAATATAGAATATTATTAATAATTTCCCTAACGTTAAAAACAGAGTCGAGAGATGCGCAAGACGGCCCCACGAACTCAATAATTGGGCAAATTATTATTAATAAAACTCTGTTTTTATTAAAATAAATATTCAGGTTCCCAAAACGATGTGTTCAGGTTCGGTGAATCGTTTCTTTTATACTATGACTTTGCCATGCTTATCTTGTTAAGTTGGGTTAGTAGTAACTCATCAAGAGATAATTAAACCGGCACCTTTAGCACATGTCCGTTGCCAATGTTCCCTGAGAAAAACGTGCCCCGATTAGTTGGTACACATGCCTGAATCTGAATTGCATGCAGCCGCTTCTATTTACATCACGCCTTCTGTCATTCTTAGGTATGCCCGCCAAATGAGATTTTAGATAATCTCGCCCAATGATTCCCAAATGAAATGCGGAACGCAACGTGGAGGCTAATCCAAGCTAGGGCTTGCGTCATTTCCGTTTCATTATTTATGAGTTATTATTAGTTTCAAATTTTTTATTTTCTATGGAAGAAACACCCGAATTTAAATCTCTAGCGAAATATATACTCGTGTTTGGTGATCGATACATTATAAAAGAAACAAACTATTATATCATGCAAAGACGTTAAATGGTGGGCGGAGGAGAGGCAGTAGAGTATAGGTATATCCTCCTCCAAGCTAAACCAAAGTAATTGTTAACAACACATGTTGCATATTAAATCTTTTATTGACTTGTTACAACATGAAGCGCATTTGTTAAAACTATAACTTGACTTTTTATTTGAATAATGTTTCTTGTTAACTCAATAATGGAACAATGCATATTTTATAGCTTCAATAAATTATTCTGCAATAATATCAAGCGACTTGTTAAAACTGTAACAAATATTTGATTTTGTTTTGATTGATTGGTCACAAAGAGAACGGTCCCCAGCATAACAATAGTGTTTCTTTTTGTTTTGTTTTTCGAGGGGGGGGGCATTGAGAATTTATTGTTCGTTTGTTTTAATTTTAACCCTTTCAATAAATGGTTAACCGAGAAGGAGTGCTCCTTCAATTTATTAATACATGTCCCTCTTATTTTTTTCATTGCTTGCATGCATTGGGATTTTATGAAAAATCAAAAAGGGTAATTAAATGATAGTTTCACTCCACCAAATTAAATGAGCTTAAGAATACAGGGATGGAGATTTGAATGATTTTGGAATTATGTCAATTAAAAACTTTTATCAATTATCCTTCACTCTTCACAAGCAAAATAAAATGTATGAATATATCCCTCTTTTCTCCTCCTTTGCGCTCCATTATCCCTCCACAAGAACATCTCTTTGTTATGCTTGGACTGAGAATGTAGAAGGGAAGGGAAAGAATTTACTTTAGATTCAAACTTAGGGGAAAACTATTATGAGACCCATGTCGGGGAGTCTCACGAGTGAAGGAGATTTATAAGTGAGGAGTTCTCATACCCCATAGGCTAGTATTTGGCAATGTGCTCTCCCTTTAAACTTGAGCTCGTCCCATTCAGCTTTTCATTTGGAAACTAAAGTCACGTAAATGGCTACTTATGAAGGCTTCGAACTAGCAAAAGGCCATGTAAATTGTTGTGAAGTGGAGCCGCTCTTGAATGGGGTGGCATTGTTATGAGTCATATATAGGAAGCCTCATAAGTATGGTTTACAAGTGCTAGGAGCTCTCTTATACAGCATGCTAGTTTTCTTTGGATGATCTCTCCCTTTAAATTTATGTTGAAAACACAAGTTTTACCGTCTTCATTCTCCTCTCATTCAAAATGTAACCTTAAGCTTAGATGTTCTTCCATACGTTAGTATCCCAATTTTTTGACTGGAAGTAGCAACATTGAAAAAGCTTTTTCCTTTGAAGGTTTAAATCAATGGGTAAGAGTATATTGTGTAATAAGTAATTAACGATATTTTGTACATAGGATTATTATGGACTTTTGTATAAAGTACAGCTTGTTCAATTTCTTCTCATGTGATTCATGTTAACTATACAAGTTAATTCAACTGCTAGCTTCATGTTTCTAGTTGATTAATATTTGATGTAAGTTAGAAAAGTGATAGCAGACTGAGCCTCGACTTGAGTTGTGTGACTACTTGAACCTTACAATGGGTCAATGGTTTTGTTCAAGAGACCAATATACCCATTTTCCTGTCAAAGCTATAGCTTAGGGATTGTGCTATCAAGTGGGATGTTAGCTAAGAATATGCCTATAGGAGATTCAGGGGAAAAATAAATAAATAAAATCCTGCAGTGGAAGTCAAACCTTAAGCCAGTATGCATCACCTTAATTATTAGCAAGGTAAAAAGAGCAACGGGGTGAATTTAAAATTGTAAGGAAAATAAAATAATAAATGGAATTGGATATGGATTAAATCCAAGATCTAAATCCATAATTTTTTAAGTGTACATATTGGGAATTCAGATCAAATTCAAATCCCCATTAATCCTAATACAACAAAGCAAAAATTACAAGAAATAGTATTTTTGGTAATTTTCCCATAATTGAAACAAAATAAAACTAATATTTTGTTCAGTGTGATTCAAACTCTAGACTTCTGAGTAGGCAACCAACATAGTTGCTACGACGTGGTTACTCTCCTTTGTTTAGATAGTGTAAAAGATTTTCAGTGAAGAGGAGAGCTACGATTTGAAGCATAAACTGAAAACTGACAATGACAAACTTATCTAATCCATTCTTCTGATGGCAAAAGCAAGAACAAAGAAATGAAAGAAAAGTGAGAGTAATAGAGGCACCGACTTGAAAAAAAAAAAGAGGGTTGGAGTAATTAAAATTTCAAATAATTAGATTAAAGTAAGAATTTAAAATTATAATAATAAATGAATTTTGATTTGGATCGAATCCAAGATCCAAATACATAAAATTGTATGTATTTAAGTTGAGAATTTAAATCAAATTCAAATCCAATTACCATTAATTCAAACATAACATAATTAGTATTCTAGAAAATTGTAGTGGTCAATTGAATGGAAACCACACGAAGGTCCTTAGGTTACATTTTATCAATACCTCTCCACTCATCTTATCACGCGCGATGCTTGCATCGTGTAAACTTGGTCATCTACACTCACCAATTGTATCTATAAATAGAACCCATGCAAGCTATCATTTCCACACCGAACCCTCTCTCTTTCTATCACATTTCAGTCCTCTCACTACTCGACTTATTGCAATGAAGATTGCCTTGCCTGCTCTGTTTTTCCTTCTCTTTGTCTTCTCCACACAACACCAAACCCTGAACCTAGCTGAAGACGTGCTTGACATCACGGGCAATCCTGTGGTCTCTGTGAAGTTATATCACATCCTGTCCGCCGCCAACACATCGTCCGGAGTTGAACTCGATCAAATTGACGCGAATTACTGCTGCCCAGTTTCCTTGGTGTTGGGCATTGATCCCAAGTTTGTGTATTTTGCAGTTGCTGGTTCAGAAGAGACTGGTGAAAATATAACCACAGATAATGCCGTGACTATTTCATTCGCTAATCCTCCTATATGCGCTACATCTCCCAATGTCAGTGTTAAAATTCGTGAGCATGGATGATATCCTTTGATGGTTGGCCCCCCTGAGGGTTCTGTTCCAGATGATGGTTCATTTTGGATTAAGCTAGGAGAGACCCCCGATCCCTTGAGAAGCACTTATTATTTGCAGGTTTCACAATTACCTTTCGTTTTGTTTGTTGAATTCAATTCTTAACTTCTGGTATTTCTTTCCTCCTTCGTCCTCTCTTCTCGCAGAAGGCCATCGAAGTATAATTGTTTCACTCTCGACTAGCTTTGGAACTCAATCTGCAGGAGGCCATAGAAGTTTAAAATAAAACGGTGAGCAGGCAAGCAATAAATAAGTCATATCACTTTCTTTTCCCCTCTTCTTTTATGTTTGTTAATTTTTTCTGTCTTTGTTGCTTTTCTTCTCCATTCTTATAAGGCAACCTTAACAACTTCAAATTAATATAAGGCAACCTTGTCAACTTTTTTTCCTTTATCTTTTCCTTTTATATTTGGACAGGTTTTTGACATACTGTATCTAGTCCTTACTATAAGGCAACCTTAACAGCTTCACACTTATTAAAAATAGTAGTTATGTACTTCAAATTGTTAAAAAATATGTAACTTTCTAATTTTTCCCATTTTACAGTAAATTATCATATTAGATTGCCATCTAGGAATTTAAACCATAATAAATAAATAAGGGGTAAAATTGGAAAAACAATTAATAACCTTAAATAAGGATCAAAATGAGCATTCATTTTTAGGCCGGTTTGTTGGTTTTCCATTCCACCAACCGATGCCATTCAATTTTCATCACTTGGCCGCAATATTGAAATTTAGATTTCTTATAACTAGCCTTTTTTTTTTTTGCCCTGCACTTTGATGGGCTAGCAAAACCAAATTTGACTAATTAAATAAATAATGATTATTTAATTTAATAAAAGAATACATGGCAGTTAATGGGAAAAAAATGCTCACATGGCATTATATGTCATCTTGACTAGAATGAAATGTGTGGACTTGGTCAATCTCTCAACAAAATAAAATCATACTTCTTAGTGATTTGAGGCTAACCTGTAATGAAGTCCATTGTGATATTTTTCCATTTTCATTCACGGATTTCTAGTCATTGAAGTGGCCCTACTGGCTTCTGGTGTTAACTTGTTGGCATACTAAACACCATGAAACAAAGTCCGCTACATCCCTCTTCATACCTCCTGCCATATAGTTGCCTCAAGTTTGATATACCTTTGTAGACCCTAGGTGGTATATGTGGAATGGTGAGCTTCATCTAAAATACACCTTCTCAAGTCTTTGACTCATGGTACACAAATCCTATTATCCAGTCTTAAAATACCCTCTTGATCAATGGTGAACTCAATGTCGTCCCCCTTCTCGAACAACTCCAATAGTGTGCAAAGTTTTGGATCTAAATTCTGAGTAGCTTTAAATTGATCCATCAATTATTTTCTTAAGATTAAGATCTTTCTGCTTGAAGATGATCTAAGAATCTTGTGATCAATGGAAATTCCACAAGTCTCACCATACAAATAATGTCGCTAGATCTTCAAAGCAAAAATGGTTGCTTCCATTTCCATGTCGTGAGTCTGGTAATTTTGCTCATGTTTCTTAAGTTTCTTGGAATCATAAGCATAATTCTCCCATTTTGCATTAGGACATGACCAAGACCAACCTAAGCAATATCACAATAAATTGCATGTCCCCCAGTCCCTAATAGCAGGCTTAAAACTGACGCAGACATTAAACAGTCTTCAACTTCTGGAAGCTTTCCTCACACTTATCACTCTAAACAAACATCACATTTTTCTGAGTCAATCTTGTCAATGGTGCAACTACCCTTGAAAAATACTAAATGAAATGATGATAATAACTAGCCAAGCCTTTGAATCTGTAACTACAGTAGGTCGTGGCCAATTCTGAATTGCTTCAACCTATATATCATCTTTGGACATAACATGACCCAAGAAGATAACTTGATCAAGCCACAATTCACATTTGAAGAACTTGACATAAAGTTGTTGCTTTCTCAACTTTTGTAAAACTAGTCGCAAGTATTCTTCATGTTCCTCTAGACTCTTTGAATACACCAATATATCATCAATGAAAATAATTACAAACTTGTCCAGGAATAATCTAAATACTCATTTCATCAAGTCCATAATGCAATCGATGTATTTGTCAATCTGAATAACATTATCAAAAATTCATATTGACCATACTGAGTTGTAAATGTTGTTTTTTGAATGTCTTCTTTCTAAATTTTGAATTGATAATAACCTGAATGTAAGTCAATTTTTGAGAAACATTGAGCCCCTACCAACTGGTCAAAGAGATCGTCAATGAGAGGCGATGGTTATTTATTCTTTATAGTTACCTTGTTATGCTGCCAAAAATTAATGCAAATTCTTAATGACCTATCCTTCTTTTTAACAAATAAAATTGATGCTGCCCAAAGGGAAGTATTAGGGAAAATAAATCCCTTATCTAATAACTTTTGTAGCTGACTCTTTAATTCTTTTAGCTTAGATGGTGCCATTCTATATGGAGGAATTGAAATTGGTTGCGCACCTAGAATCACATCAATAAGAAACTTGATCTCTGTATCTGAGGGTAACCCAAGAAACTCATCTGGAAAAACATCAAAAAATTCTCTAATTATGAGAATTTGTTCCACACTAAAAACTAATTTCTTAATGTCCTTCACCAAAGCCAAGTACCCTCGATAACCCTTCATCAAAAGCCGTTAGGCCTTCAGGGATAAGATTAAACCTATTGGTCTTTCTATTTGGCTTCCTTGCAAAACAAAGGAGTTTTTCTATGAATTTCAAATCTCATCACTTTCAAGTGGAAGTTAATAGTGGCATGACAAGAGGTTAACCAATCCATACTTAGAATTACATCAAATGAAATCAATCATATCTAATATCATCAAATCAACTAGGGTTTTCTACTTTACAGAGATACTTCACAAGATTTGTATCCTTGCGTAACAAAGAGAGATTCTCCTATTATTGAGGTTGGAGTTAGTCAATATCTTACGGGGCTGGTGGGTAGAGGTTGTTCAAGTTCAGTGAATCGTATCTTTTATACTTTGACTTCCCATCCTTATCTTGTTAAGTTGGGTTAGTACCAAAATCATCAAGAGATAATTAAACCGGCACCTTTAGAACATGCCCTTTACCAATATTCCCCCAGAAAAACGTGCCCCGATTAGTTGATACACATGCCTGAATCTGAATTGCACGCAGCCACTTCTATTTACATCACACCTTCTATCATCCCTAGGTTTGCTCACTAAATGAGATTTTAGATAATCTCACCCAATAATTCCCAAATGAAATGCGGCACGCAACATGGTGGCTAATCCTTGCTCGGGCTTGCATCATTTCCGTTTCATTATTTATGAGTTATTGTTAATTTCAAATTTTTTATTTTTATGGAAGAAACATCCGAATTTAAATCTCTACTGGAACATATACTTGTATTTGGTGCTCGATACATAATAAAAGAAACAAGCTATTATATCGTGGAAAGACGTTAATGGTGGGCGGAGGAGAGGCAGTAGAGTATAGGTATATCCTCCTCCAAGCTAAACGAAAGTAATTGTTAAAACTACAAATATGACATAATTTTGAATTAGACCGAACACTATTTGAAATGATCCGTTGCATGATGTTGGACCTAAATTGAAATAAAATGACCAAAATATCATTCTTTTAGCATGTTTCAATGTAACAAGTAACACATTGAAATTAACAAGAAAATAAAGATTTTAACAACTAGTGTAGTTAATTTTACAAGTTGTGGTAACAGCTCAGCAAATAACTGATTTAACTCGCTACATGGACATCACAAGTGAAGTTATGAAGTTAGCGAGTAGTGTAAGGAAAAAAAAACAAGTAAAGTGAAAGAATTGACAAGTCTTCTTAAAAATTTGTAACTAGGTTAGCTGCAATGTATTTGATGTAACAAGTAGCACAACAAAATTAGCAAGTAAAGTAAAATTTTTAACTAGTAAAGTAGTCGATTTTACAAGTTATAATAACAGCTTAAGAAGTAATGGAGTTAACTGACATGGACTTCTATTGTTAATAAATTATATTACTTTCTTAAAGCTTTACTTTACTGATAAATTTCCTTGTGTTAGTTGTTATGTTAAATCATGAAAGAAAGTTATTTTGGTCATTTTTTTAGGAAAATTATTACAATTCAAACCTAACATCCTGTATTAAAATTTCATATTGTTTTCAACCTGATCTGAAAACACGTCACATTAGTCGGAAATTCTCCATTTGATAATCACCCTATGCATGCGATGATAAAATAAAAGGGATACTGAGAAATTGAAGAACCACTTCTCCATGTTTTTAAAATTTTCTAAAGGCATCTGCAATATGCTGAAACGGTTAAAAATTAAACAAATGAACAATAAGCGCTCGCCGTTTCCACATGCACACACATGATGGTTGTATACTCGTATTCATAACAAATGGAAGGTTGGAATCACACGTAACTATGTTAGGGGACCATTCTCTTTGGGACCAATCAATCAAAACAAAATCTTTTAATATAATTCCCACGTGGTGGATTAGGCTTTGATGTCAGACTTGTTTAAGGTATTTTGGTTGAACTCACTTCGAATATTTATGTCTTTGATTTGCCTTCTAATTATGTTGTGCTCGAATTAATGGGTATTTGGAATTGAATATGATCTGAATTCCCAATTTGCATACATAATATTTTAATATTATTCATTCTAGTTATAAATCTTTGCTTTTTGAGTATGAGAATGTATTTGCCTTCTTATCTATAATATTAAAGGAAGATGTGCTCTTATGGTAGAAAGAGGTCTAGATGCCCATAAATTCCATTTCTTGATCAATAATGCAAGTCTTTTACAAAGACATGCGCATTATATTAAAAAGCATTCCATCGATTTTCAACATCTCTTAGTCATACCCTTCACTTATTCTTTTTCTCCAATTTATATATTGATTTATATATCACATGTATGATATATGCATTGTCTTG